CCAAAACACACCATAAGGAGTAAAAAGACAAGCCATGAATTTGAGAAGATATTTACAATGCATATAATCAACAAAGGATCATTGTTACAAGTTTATTAGTTTTAAAAGACAACCCAAGAGAAAAATGGGTAAAAGATATGACCAGGTATTTCACAAAAGGGAAACAGTTCATAAACATATGAAAAGATGCTCAAACTCATTAACAAAGAAATGCAAATTAAAACCACAAGACACATCATTTCATACCCATTTGATTGGCAAATATTAAGAAATCTGATGATAATAAGTGTTGGAGTAAATATGGATCAACTGTAACTCTTATACACTGCTTATCAAAGTATATAAAAATTGACAAAACTGCTGGCCAAAGTACAAGGTGGTACAACCACTTCAGAAAACAGTTTGGTAAAGTTGAACATTCATACCCCATAATCCAGCAATTTGACCTCTAGCAAATAGTTTACCACAGTAGTATTCCAACCATTTTTTTACTCACAAACCACTAAAAATGTTTTAAATCATTTTCACACAAGATGACATCTACAAGTGTTCAGCCCGTTTATATAATTGTAAATGATGAATTTCTTGTGACTTAAAGATAATCTTAGATATTATCTAAAGATAAGGTAGTTTTGTGACATATCATTGGTTTAAACTGTTATAATTATTATAACATAGGATTTATCAAAAATAACTGCATACACTGATAATCAATCATAAAATGTTAAATTGTAATTGCAAATGCAGCTCCTGAGATGGAAGTACCTGGATTAGAAAACGCACTAACACTATATATGTATATATTGGTATATATGTATACATATATATATATATACTGGATTTTAAATTATCTGTCTTCCATGGAGTTTTTCTGCTTAGGACAATGCCTTAATAATATTCCATGTGGGTAGGTAGTATGCCTTCCTTACCTAAGGTAAAAGTGCTACTAGGAAAGGTAAAGTGGAAAGTAGGACTAACAAGAGGCCTCTATCACAGGCCCCAGGCATTACCAATTTTAAGAAAGAGTACACACAGAATTTAATGATCTAGAAATTGATTCATTAATATCACTCCTGCCCAAGTACTCCCTAGAAATATCTTCATTACTCCTCTGGGGGGTCATAAACCCCCGTATGAAAATTAGAGAAATTCTTGGCAACCGTGTACCAGAAGATACATACAAGAATCTTCATAATAGCAAAACCTAGAAACAGCCAAATGTCCATCGAAGAATGCATACACTGTAATATTCCCTGTGGAATATTACACAGCAGTGAAAATTAATGACTTACATCTATTCTCAATATCAGTGACTCTTAGAAACAACATTGAGTGACATAAGCAAGTCTCAGAAAACTGTATCCACAACCCCTTTCTTTAAAAAACCCAAAGACAAAGAAACCATATAATACATTGTTGAGCGATATACATATATCTGACAAAATTATTTTTTAAAAGCAAGGAATGACACAGACAATTCAGGATAGTCACTCTGGAGATGAGCACATACAATATTGGTCATTTTGATTCTTGGATTGAGTGGTGTACTGATTGGTATTCACTGTACTGTTTTGCTTCACAACCAGCATATATGTTACATTATTTTATTTTGTTACATATATTTTGATTTTATCAAATATTACATTGAAGAGGAAAGAAGATTTTTCCAAAACCACTCATTATCTTTTAAAAAGTAATTAAATCACCTCAACTGCCACTAAAGAGGTACATAAAACATACCGTGGAAATTACTATCTTTACATTAACCATAGGTGCAAAATAAATTTTTACTGGAATTAATCTTACAAGAAGCATATGAGATAAAGACTGAGCTAGTTAGCTGTGAGAGATGAACCCATCTGACACAGGGCTAAAACAGAAGCCAAGGCGGCTATAAGGAAATTTAGCTGTAAGCTAAAGTTATAAGGAAGCTGGTCAGTAAAGAGAAGGCAAAAAAGTAAAAGCCTAGTAACAAAGTATTAGCAAGGATGTGAGGAAGTGAGTGTCCTCACTCAATACCAGTGAGAGTGAAAATTAGTACAACCACTTTGTGAGCTTCTGTGATATTCAGTTATGTTGAAGATGCACATATCCTACTATCCAGCAACTCCCCTGCTACGTGTATTTCTTAAAGAAACTTCCAAATGTGTGCACAAGCAGACAAAGATGTTTATTGCAGGATTGTTTTTAGAGTAAAAAACCAGAAACAACTGTGAAGTCCATCGATTGGGAAATGAATTATGGTATATTCATACAATTGGATTCTGTACCAGCAATTAAGATGAATGAACCAAAGAGAACACAATTGCCCAATTTATTTGTATATGAAACTCAAAATGTGATACTGATTTTAAAATTGCAAGTTGCAAAAAGACACATATCATTTAAAACCATTGAGACTTAAAACACATACCACCACACATTGTTCATAGATTGGGAACTGTGAACCAACTACAAAATATTAAAGGGAATGATATACACAAATCTGAACACAGCGGCTACCTTAGGGAAGGAGGGGCAGGAACTCGGAGCGCCTCCAACATCTGCAATTTTATTTCTTAAAATAAAAAAGGATTTGAAGTAAATTTGGCAAAATAATTACATTTGTAAATCTGAATCATGGGTTGGTTAGATCCCCCTGTGTATTTTATATGTGAAATATTTCAGAAATTAAACAGAAAAAAAGGAAATTAGGCAAAGGTAAGAAAATTAACAAATGAACAGAAAGACACACCAAAACACAGCCTTAGAGCGCAGAGCACGAACCTTTGAGCAAGAAGCAGCGTAGGAGGTGGCTCTTTAATCAGTTTGAAGGTTCCTTCCCTGTGTATCCTTGTAATAAATCCCATTTCCCTTAGGATAAAACGCAAATTTCTTGCAATAAAAAATGTCCTAACTAGAGCTGTAACTATGAGAAACCTGCTGCTAAGGGAGGAGTAAAAATCTGTACAAGGTCTACCTTGAGTCTCCTCGCCAGGATGTTGGGCAGAATCAAGAGATAATTTATGAGAACGCGATACGACACTATACGAACCGTTAAGTATTTTCAAGAACGCCCAGGCACAGCTAGAACGTATTTGCCCAGCTGGCGTGTGCGCCCTATTTCGGAAGGAGTCTGCAACTGAAGGGCTTTGGGCATCTACGGCTCCTCTGGAAAAGGCACTCTGCACTGGTACCAGCCAAAATTCACCTACGCGTTGGCTCAATTTTTGGCCCTTGGCTCCCCCCTCATTCCTCCCAGAATAGGCCGGCTCGACAGGTCACACCTGACGGCGTCAACACTACGGAGCAGCTGGCCAGACCCGCCTCCGTCCTCCCCTTCCCACCCGCGTCGGGGGAGGGAGGATGCTCCCGCGAGGAGGGGAGGGGGGAAGCGCTAGGTTGATTTTCCCAGCCCGGGTCCCCTCCTGGGAGGGAAGCCGCCCCCGGACTCGACTGCCATTCTCACGAAAACAGGTGGCGCAGACGTTACAGCGCACAAAACAGAGAACGGGGCGCGCACGAACGTTCACGAACACTCGCGAATGAAAACGCGCACAAGGGAAATCATACACTCGACAGGACGCAGGAGCGGCACGCGCGCGGGGACACGCGAGGGCGCACACCGGGGAGGGCGATGTACCAGGATGGGGTCACGACCGCAGACAGCGCGGACACGCGAGCGGGGGACGCGCGCCCCCCGGAGAGGGACGGTGACACAAAGGGGGGCCATCACACGGGCCAGAGGCGCCCACGCCGTCGCCAAGAACGCGAGCGACACAAAGAAGCCGGGAGTGGACACAAAGGCGCGTGCCCGCACGCCCGGACCCAGGGACCCCCCCGCCTGTCAGGGGTGTCACCCTCCAGACGAGAGCGCGCGGGCAGCAGGGGGATGCGACCACAAAGGGGCTACTCCCACCCTCACAGAGACGCCCCCAGGGGCCCAAGGAGTCTGAAGGGGCCCGTAAGACAAAAGGGACACACCCACTGGGACCGACAAAGGCGGCCACACCCCCAGCGCCCCGACCCACGCAGACACACCGGGGGCACCACAGCGAGCGACGCGGGGCGACGCGCACACACCCACACTCACCACACACCCACGGAGGGGGTGTGGAGGGCCCCTCTCCCCGGGCATCTCGGCTGCAGCGCGATAAGGTGACACATCCGGGAGCCCCGCCGCGCGCCAGATGTGCACTCACCGGGGCCCGCAGCCCCCGAGCCTCGGACGCGGGCCGCCGCCGCCGCCGCCGCCTCTGGCCCTCCACGTCAGCCAGCGGGCGGGCGGGAGCGGGCGGCGGCGCAGGCGGCAAAGCCCGTCACGTGGGATGCGCACATGCGCAGTCGTGCAGCCCCGCTCCCTTCCGCGGCGGCGAGCAGAGCGATCCGGCGGTTCCCGGTGCTCGTGCGCTCTAGACAGGCAAGGGTCGCAGTGCGCCTGCGCCTGGGCTGGGAGGGGGGCGCCGGAGAGACCCGGCCTTTCCTTTAGCTTTCCCCTCTCTCGCCCCCGCGAAGGTTTTCCAGAAGGCGCCTGCGCGAGGGACTCGGCGGTGAAGTGGCCGAGCTGTCGGGAGGGGCCTGAGAAGCCAGGGCCTCCCCCACCCCACAACCCTTGAATAAGAAACTGAAACTCCCCCGAGAGGGCAGGGCCTGGTCCCGGGCACGGTGGCCCGGACCTGGGGAGGAGGCGCGCGTGCCCCGAGCCCGGCCATGCCAAGCCCTTTCCGCAGGCAGGCGATGCCTGCAGGCTAGGAACGGCTTTCGTCCTTTCTCTACCCTCCCTCCCCTCCCCTGCAGGGTGCGCGCGCTCTGGGTGTGCGCGCGCACGCGGGGTCTGGGGGGGCTCGTGCACGCGTGCTAGCTGTGTGTGTTGGAGGTGTGTGCGCAGGGAGGCGGTGTGCAGTGGCTTAGGCACGGAGAGAAACTGCAGAGGCTGTCCCCGTAGCAAAGCGATGAGGCTACAACAGACCAGTGATGAAGGGGAGTGAGTCACTGACGATGATTGTGTTTCTTTCCCGCAGATTGTCTAAAGCCACAGGGAAAATGGTGGAAAATTCACCGTCGCCATTGCCAGAAAGAGCGATTTATGGCTTTGTTCTTTTCTTAAGCTCCCAATTTGGCTTCAGTAAGTACTTTCCTGATGGATGGCCAGGACCTCTTTTCTGGTGTTCAAGGACAAGGAAATTACATCATTTGTTCTTAGAATGTGCACATAATGAACTGTGATTCTTTCTACTTATGTCTTTTTCTAAGAAAACCTAAAGGGAACTTGTGTTTGGTATTTTATATGCCCGACACTAGTGTAAGTAATCTCAAGAAATTATTTATACAGCACCAGACAGGATTGCAAAGTGAATGAAACCTGGTCCCTGTGGTTCAACATCTCTGTGGTCATAGTCTTCTGGACAAGACAGACAATGGGATCTACAATCAACAGTGTGAAAAGAACCATGGGAACCCAGTAGAGCAACATGAAATCAGACTAGGAAACAGGGTTTAGCTTTCTCCTCGGCAGCGAGAAGGAAGATGTGGGAAGGTTTTGAATGAAGGGTTTAGAGTGAGTAAGTTGGTACAGGTGCAGCCTGTGGGAGGCAGGAAGCCAAGAGAATTAGGCTAGAGAAGCCATGTGCACTCTAGAGCCCTAGATCTGGCTTAGTTTCCAGAAGATCCTGTTTTCCAGATAAGGAAACTGATGCTCCCTGAGACACTGATGTGCCCAGGGTCACACAGGAGGCTCCACATCTCTCCTCTAAAGGATATGGGAATTATAAAGGAAAACAAGAGGGAGAAAATTGGGTGTCCCATCCAACTTTTTGGAATTTTGTGGAAACCAGGGAGGTGAGGGAGTGGTAGTGTTTCTGAACCCTGACCGTATTTGTACAGCCAACCATGCTGTTGGCAAGGGTAGTGTAGGGAGTAAAGAAGTTGTGACTTGAGTTCAAATCCTGACTCCTCCAGGGACTAGCTGTGTCACCTGGCACCATTTGCCCAAGCTCTTGAATCTTCATACTCTTCATCTGTAAAAGGGTGGTGACAATGTTTATTGAATGTTTATGACGTGCAAGACAGCCCTATGAGGTAGGTATTGTTATTTCTTTCCTTTATTTTATCAGTGATGATCCTGAGGCATGAGGTTTTAGGAATGTGCCAAAGGTCATACAGCCAGTAACTGATAAGAGCTGGAATTTGAACCCAGACACTGGATCGACTTCACTGTGCTGCATTTTAGGGCTGCTGTGAGGATTAATTAATTGATTAATTAATTAATGTAAAGCACTTAATACAAAAGACTGATAAGTATTTCTATATAGTCTTGACTTTTACATAGTGCCTGGCATAAAGTAGATGTTCAATAAATTCTCATGCATTGATTTAATTAATGTCAATTACTTCCATTTATGAATTTATATGGTGTTTCCCTGCTCTTTGTATTTCATCCATTTTAAAAGCTATCTACAAGTTACAAGCCTGTCCCATGCCATCTTTTCTCTCTACCATCCAGTCACACCAGATCCCTCACTCTCCCTGTGGATCATGGCAGCAAACACCATTTTCTCGTATTTCCTTCCTTCCTCATCTGCAGCCCCCAGACATATTTTTGATCTGGCTAATCCCCTACTGATTATTTAGGGTGCAGTTTAGTCACTTCCTCCAGGAAATCTTTGCTGACCATTAACATCACCTCCATCAGTGCCAATGTGGGCTAAGAGCCTTCTTATGTGCTCCTGTATCACCTTTTATTACACATTCACGCTTATCACAGTGTAATGAAAATGTCCATTTACTCGTCTCTATTCCCCTCCCCTAGATTTTAAGCTTGGGAATGCCAGAGACCATGCCTTTTGGGTTCACTGCTGTTTCTTATGCTTCTGATGTAGAATATGAATCCTACAGCATCATCAACAGAGATAGTTTGAATTTTGTCTCTGACCTTTACGTCAGGCAGAGGATGTAACATTTCTAAGACTTTATTTCATTTCATTTACTCCTCTATAAAAATAGCATACATATCATAGGATTGTTTTAAGGATTAAATTAAATAATGCATGTGAAATGCTTTGAAGTGTGGGGAGCCCACAGTGAGTGCTTGGATGTTAGCTGTTATTTTTACAAATTCACAATAAAGCATTCCACAAAGACTGAGCTTGAGGGAAATAAGATAGTATTCTGGGAGACGAGGCAGAAGCCCATCATGAGGTAGATCAGAACAGAGGTAGATAGATCACCTTTAAGCAACCGGTATCTATAGTCCTTTCAGCCCTGTGGTAATGAAGTATTGAACAGCCATTATACAGAGGGAAAATTGCTAGGTGCTGTAAGGATCACAACAATTGCTAAGACGTGATTTCTGCCCTTAAATTGCTTCAAATACAGTGTGAGAGTTAAGACATGTTTTTAAAAAAGGGAGTAATGGGGAAGTGGAGTTGTTTAATGGGCATAGAGTTTTAGATTTGCAGGATGCTAAAGTTCTAGAGATCTGTTTCATAGCAATGCAAATATACTACTTTTTTAAAGATTTTACTTATTTATTTGACAGAGAGCGAGCAAGAGAGGGAACACAGCAGGGGAAGTGGGAGAGGTAGAAGCAGACTCCCCGCCGAGCAGGGAGCCCGATGTGGGGCTTGATCCCAGGACTCTGGGATCACTACCTGAGCCAAAGACAGATGCTTAACAACTGAGCCACCCAGGCGCCCCTCAAATATACTACTCTAAGTTAAGCGTCATAAATACTATAAGAATGATAGAAATAAGGAGCTAGGAAACTGAAAGAAAAGAGAACTCATTTCTGAGGTAATCGGGGAATCTCAAAAGAGCTTTTTGGTTTTTGTTGTTTAAAGATTTCTTTATTTTAGAGAGGGAGCAAGAAAGTATACATGAGGAGGGCCAGAGGGAGAAAGAAAATCTTAAGTTGACTCTGGTGGTGAGCACAGAACCTAATGGGGGCTCTATCCCAGAACCCTGAGATCATGACCTGAGCCTCCATTGAGAATTGGACCCTTAACTGACTGAGGCAACAGGTGCCCCACGAGCTTACTGTTTTATCTAAACCTTGTTAAATTAGATGCATGCCTTATTGACTTCGCTTTTTCTCTTATTTCTGTTCCTCTCTGCAGTACTGTATCTTGTGTGGGCATTTATTCCTGAATCTTGGCTCCATTCCTTAGGATTAACCTACTGGCCTCAAAAGTAAGTTTAATGTTTTTCTTAAATAAAAATGTGTGAAGGGCGCCTGGGTGGCTCAGTGGGTTGAGCCTCTGCCTTCGGCTCAGGTCATGATCTCAGGGTCCTGGGATCTAGTCCCGCATCGGGCTCTCTGCTCAGTGGGGAGCCTGCTTCCTCCTCTCTCTCTCTCTGCCTGCCTCTCTGCCTGCTTGTGATCTCTGTCTGTCAAATAAATAAATAAAAATCTTTAAATAAAAAAAAAATAAATAAAAATGTGTGAATACTATTTTGAAGGATCACAGTTTTTCTTTAAGACTGCCCAAATTGTAAATACTTACCCTTTTAAGATCCATAAATAGCCATATAGAAATTTAAAGCTTTTCAGAAGTCATTACTGCTACATCTCTAATTCAGGATGGCAGAGGGAACATACATTCCATTTCCTCCCAACATCTGGTTAAGGTAACACTATACAAGAAAAATGTTTAAGGTATAAACCCACAGGAACAAATAATGGGAGAGCAGATAATCATCAAAAGAATTCAAGGTGGGGCATCTGGGTGGCTCAGTCATTTGAGCAGCTGCCTGAGATCAGGGTCCTGGGATCGAGCCCCGCATCGGGCTCTCTGCTGAGGGGGAGCCTGCTTCCCCCTCTCTCTCTGCCTGCCTCTCTGCCTACTTGTGATTTCTCTCTCTGCCAAATAAATAAAATCTTTTTTTTTTTTTTTTAAGTGTTCAAGGAAATGATTGCAGACAGGGGAGAGGTAACTTAGTTTCCACTTTTTCCGGGGTGCTGTGGTAGGGAATGATGCAGGATTACAGCTTTTTACAACGCAGAGTACTAACCACTGTACAATCGTGGCCAGGATTGCAGCTTTTCATTACAATCCTTGTAGAATGATTTCACTGTCTTGTAAATATATGTATTATTTTTAATTTAAAAAAATCAGATTTAAAAAGCATGTTAACTCGGTGATGGTCTCTTGAGAATGATGACTCTTCGGGCAGTCTATTATTTTCTTTAATATTTTCTTCTACAGATACTGGGCAGTTGCATTGCCTGTCTACCTCCTCATTACTATAGTAATTGGTTACGTACTCTTATTTGGAATAAACATGATGAGTACCTCTCCACTCAACTCCATTCATACAATCACAGGTAAATGTCTATCAAAGGGAAGTGCTGGCAGTGTGGGGGAGGGGGACAGGAGAGCAAGGTATTAGCAGTTTTATCGAGAAAAGCAACCAAGAATAGGCTATAGTAGGTGACACATATCAGCACAAGAAAAAGAATGTAGGAGAAATAAATACAAAGTTATACCAGATTCAGCAAAGAAATACAAATTCAGCAGGTGTATTTTCCCATAAAGACCACAAGTATATAATATGTTCCTTAGCGGGGCGCCTGGGTGGCTCAGTGGGTTAAAACCTCTGCCTTCAGCTCAGGTCATGATCCCAGGGTCCTGAGATCGGTGGTCCTGGGACCGAGACCCACATTGGGCTCTCTGCTCAGCAGGGAGACTACTTCTTTCTCTCTCTCTCTGCCTGCCTCTCCGCCTACTTGTCTGTCAAATAAATAAATTTTTTTTTTTAAGATTTTATTTATTTGTCAGAGAGAGAGGGAAAGAGAGCGAGCACAGGCAGACAGAATGGCAGGCAGAGGCAGAGAGAGAAGCAGGCTCCCCGCCGAGCAAGGAGCCCGATGTGGGACTCGATCCCAGGACGCTGGGATCATGACCTGAGCTGAAGGCAGCCGCTTAACCAACTGAGCCACCCAGGCGTCCCCAAATAAATAAATTTAAAAAAAAATATATATATATATGTTCCTTAGCAACTGTGCCCAAGAAAAACATATTTTATCCTAAACGGGCAGTGTTGATCAAAGAATGGCAAGTAGGTCCATGCAGATCTCATATGATAGAGGGATTTGAGAATACGCATGCTCCTCAGGATCCTTGTACACACCTGACCCCAGTTATGTAGATGGAAGAGCCACAGTATGTCTTTGTAGCTTTTTTTTAATTCCTCTAAATCTAAAGAATAAAGTAAATTAAATTCCTGACCATGCTTAGATTCTAGGAAGTGAAGGGGTTTTGGGAGGAAATGAAGTGTTTTTTAAGTTGCTTGGTCTGATTTTTTTTTTTTAATTTTCAAAGCCTTTTTTTATGAGCCTATACAATGTACTTTGAAAACCAGTTCTAGTATTTTTATACTGCTTTCTGATAAAATACTGTATTCCCTATCTTCTTGCCTAAAATTCCAGCAAATAGGCGATTTGTGCAAAGAGGGGACCTTGTTAAGTTTGCGTGGATAATTGTACCAAATGATTTAACCGTTTGGCAGTGTTGGGTTAAATATATTTTCTAAGCCTGGGTATAATTCTGTCCCTATGAGAAATGTGCAGGTGGAACTTTAATCATTATTGTACAGTTGAATGAAATGTTCATTTCTTATCCTAAAGATGCAGAAAGTACTTTCCTGATTTTTATTCTATTTGGGACATTTCTTCTAAAGAGAGAATTTAAGTAATCTTTTAATTATATTAAACATGATATTTGTCATTATGCTAATATTAGCCTAGCAAAGTATTGAGTGCATTTCTGTAAAGTATAAAAATGGTAGAAGAAACTGCTTGGGTAAGCAGAGCTTTTTGTCCTCTTCCGACAGATAACTATGCTAAAAATCAGCAGGAGAAGAAACACCAAGAAGAGGCCATCCCAGCATTAAGAGATATTCCTATTAGTGAAGTAAACCAAATGTTCTTCCTTGCAACCAAAGAACCGTATGCCAAAAAGTAAATTGCATGTAGACTAACACCAAGCATTTACTCTTAAGTTTTTGATGTAATAATTTTGACCATATTATTTTGACTTTCTCTCATACCCAATATTGAAGTGTTAAAAGAAAATTTGTTGTTTCTTAGATTAAGTTCTATTAATATTATAAATATAAATATTATAAATATAAATACTATAAATGTTCTTGAATGAACATTTCTTGAATGTTCTTGAATGAGCAGAATAAATAAAATACTGCATTACTATATAGCAGACTTCTTAAGAAATAAGTATTAGTAAAAGCAAGAAGTACTTCCAGAGAAGCATTCATGTTGTGATTTTTAAATGGCAATTATGTCCTTCCCGCTGTTTTCTCTTCGAGGCCCAGAATTCAAACTCTTAGATTTGGGAGAGGGGTACATTTAGTTTGTGTGTTCTTTTTTTTTTTTTTTTAAAGATTTTATTTATTCATTTGACAGAGAGAGAGCGATCACAAGTAGGCAGAGAGAGGGGGAAGCAGACTCCCTGCTGAGGAGAGAGCCCGATGTGGGGCTCGATCCCAGGACCCCCGGGATCATGACCTGAGCCGAAGGCAGAGGCCTTAACCCACTGAGTCACCCAGGCACCCCTAGTTTGTGTGTTCTTGCATCATATTTGTGTATAAGACAGAAACATTTGTTGAGTACTTACTTCCGAGGTATTTTTCTGGATGTAGCAAGGATAAGATTCTTTCTGAAAGAGCTTGCATTTCAGGGGCAGATTGAGACAGACTAAGCAAATACATCAGTATTATTTAATGAGTGCTATGCAGAGAATCAAGATAGTATAATGTTCTAGAAAGTAAAGGGATGACTACTTTAGCTTGGGTGGTCAGGGAAGGCTGTTGAGAGAGAAGCAGTTGAGTTTGAAATTTAATTAGCAAAAGCAAGAGCCTATGAGAAGGATTGGAGATGGGAGAGATTGTAGGTATGAAGCAGCCCGGGGCAGAGGCCTCCAGGTGGGAAGGAGCTCAGTGTGTCCTGAGGACGGAAGGCCAGCAGGGGCCTCGGGCACACTGCCCAAGGGAATGTGGAGAGGCCCAGCCCCACCGCACTACCACACAGGGCTTTGTAGGCAAACACAGGAAGTCTAGACTCAAGTGTCAGTGGGGTGAGTTGGAGGCCCTTTCGCTTCTGAGCTATAGGGAGGCTTTAAGGAAAGGCATGACCTGGCCCCATGGATGTCTTGAGAAAGTTGCTCAGGCTGGTGGATAGAGGATGGATTCAGGAAGGAGAGTTGGGGTGGGGCAGGAGTTTGGAAGTAAGGGTCCTGCTCCAGCACAGTGGCGGCAGTGGGGCTGGGGACAAGCGGGTCACTCGGCAGCCTGTGTTGGAGACACAGGTGACGGACAGGGTGCGTGGATCTGATTGTGTGGAGTGGGTAGCTGCTGGGAGAAGTTGTGATCGAGGGTCTTCCTGGGGTCTCTGGCTCAGTCAGCTGAGTAGATGGTTATGCCTTTTAATGAACCAGACAGTATTTGGGGAAAGTGTAGTTGAAGGGGTTGGAGGATACAGTCTATGAATTAGTTTGAGTGACTTCTTAATACGTGGTTGTGTCCGTGTGATATTGAGAAGCTGAGATAGAATTAAGTTTTAAAAATAAACCAAATGTAACTTAGCAGGGCTGTACTCACAGTTGGCCAGTGGGACCAAATCTCAGCTCCTCGAGCATTTGAGGCCTTCTAACTTTTGACACCCTAAATCTCTGCACAGGAGCAGAGCCACACATTTTCGTGCAGATTTGACTATACCTCCTGTAAAGAGAAAAAAAAAACTATTTTTAAAAAGTTGAGAAAACTAGGACTTCCATTTCAATAACCATATCCCTGCCTTGTAAGTATAAGACAGGTGATGCGAGTCTATTTCTAGTCTGCCATTTGTCCCAGCTCCTGTATTTCTGTGGTAGGAGCATGTCCCCACACTTCAGAGCAGTTTGAGAGGACCAGTTGGCTCCATCCAGGAGGAGGGTAAATAAACAATAAAATACCTGTTTTTACAGTTGAAAACCCCACAGCCATGCAACAAGAACTAATTACTGCTCTACCTAACAACATGAATGAATATCACACACACACATGTTGGAGGAAAAGACAGACATAAAAGAATATATAGTGTATTATTCCATTTATATGAAACTCAAAATCAGGAAAAACAAACCTTTGGTGATAAATATACAATAGCAATATTAACCAGGAGAGGCATGAGGGAACCCACTGGGAGCTTAAAGGTCTGGATTGCAGTTACTTGGCTGTAACAGAAGCATAGCCTTAATATCATTTAACTTGTGCTTCTTAAAAGTGAATCATAGCTGACATACCATATTATATGAATTTCAGGTGTACAAGGGAGCAGTTTGATACTTTTATACATTACAAAATGCTCACCCCAATAGGGTTAGTTACCGTCTGTCACCATATACATTCACTACAGTGTCATTGACTATATCCCCTATGCTGTACATTACATCCCTGTGGCTTATTTTATAAGAAGTTTGTGCCTCTTAATCCCCTTTAGCTGTTCCACTCATCCCCCCACCCAAGATCTGTGCCCTTGATGTAATTTACACATCAATAAAAAGGTAAAGAACAGTGCCTATGCCCCATCCCCAGAAATTTTCTTTTAATATTTTATTTATTTATTTGTCAGAGAGTGAGTGGGCAAGCACAAGCAGGGGGAGCAGTAGGGAGAGAGAGAAACAAACTCCCCACTGAGCAGGGAGCCTGATGGAGGACTCGATTCCAGGACCCTGGGATCATGACCTAAGCTGAAAGCAGACACTCAACCAACTGAGCCACCCAGGTGTCCCACCATCCCCAGAAATTTTAATTCATTGGTCTGGAGTGGGGCCCAAGGAGGGATAGCTTTTACTGACTCCCGGACACTTAACACGCAGCCAGGATTGAGAACTGCCTGCCTTAATCCATTGGATTTAACAACCTGTGGTCAGCCGGGAGACTGGCTGTTTCTTTGGAAGAATGGATAGTTACCAGAGCAGTCCTTTCACCTTTGTGGCACTCCTTCCCGGATCAGCATCATCCTTTTGTATTTCCTTCTGGCCAGTGATAGGCCTAAAAAGGTTTTGAAATGGGTCAGAAAAGGCCCTTAATTAACTCCAGTACCCCACCTCACCTCCGGCCTCCTAGTAATTTCTCATTCTGTTTCCCCAAGCACATCGTTCTTATAGCTCGTTAGAGATTGTCTGTGTTTCTCAGATCGTGGGCTGCAGTTGTTTCCAGGGTCCTGGTCAGTTTAGTGGAGCGATTCTCACCATTTTTTAAAATTCTCAGGACCCCCTTAACACTCATAGTGTTCCCAAAGAGCATTCATATATGTGGATTCTATTTCGAAATTAAAAGGGGAATTTTAAAAACATTTGTTTGTAAATACTAAACTTATTACATTTTGATATATTTAAATAGCATTTTATGACAAATAACTATATTTTCTAAAACAAATTTAGCAAGACCCGTAGAATTGTTTTGCGTTTTTGCAAAACTCTTCAAAAGTCTAGGTTACTGGAAGACAGCTGGGTTCTCCTGTCTGCTTCTGTGTTCAACCCATGCCAATACCACACGTCACAAAGCCTCTGGAAAACCACTGCACACTTGTGAAAATGAGAGCGGAGGAGAGAAATAGCATCTTAGTGGTTTTGTAAAATTGGTTTTGACCTCACAGACCCCCTGAAACAGGGTCTCCAGGCCACACTTTGAGAACCACTGCTTAGTGGGCCTCAGCTAGAGTGTGTGTGTGTGTGTGTGTGTGTGTGTGTGTGTGTGTGTCTGTGGGCGCACTTGTGAGAGGGAACTAGCATAGGATACAGCACTGCACTTGATAAGGATAAACCGTGATTGAACACCTCTTGTGGCCATGGCAGATCCTTCCCGTCCCACCCCTGACTCCAGCCACTGATGCCCTCGTGATCAGGTCCACACAGGTGCCACTCAGCAGTGCACCCTGGGGTGAGAGGACGTCAACACCCAAAGGACACTGTGGAGCTCACTGTGGGGCAGGCATCCATCCCCCAACAGAGCGGTTGTGAGCTGAATTAATTCAGCTTCGGAGGAGGTCTCTGGAGACTGAGCTGCAGTCGCCATGGCAACGGTGCCCTCGGTAACGCAGGCCTGCGTTGGCTCTTCTCAGTTTTGCTCCCTTGCTGCCCACGCCTTCCTAATGTCACTTTCCAAATAAACTGCCTACACACAAGCCTTTGTCGCAGGCTTTGCTTTCATGGGAACCCCAGCTGAGAGGTTTTTATTTTGTAAAAACTGTGCTTCAGTTAAAGGGCCAGAATCCGTAATGCATTTCCCTGCTGCATGTTCCAATTCAAGAAAAATGTTTGAAAGACACTGCGTTTTACAGTAAGCCCAAATAATAGCATAAAATACCCCCAAAATGTCAGTAGTATAAAGTTAACCATTTTCACAAAACCCCCTCCAGTAATTAGATTCTCAACAAGAATTTCACGATGAAAGTCCAAATATGAAATCACCTAAATCAAATCCCAAATTCTTCCCTCCCTAATTTTTTTTATTTTTAATAAACATTTATAAATTTGGGGGCACCTGGGTGGCTCAGTAGGATAAGGCTCTGCCTTAAGCTTAGGTCATGATCCCGGGGTCCTGGGATTGAGCCCCACATCGGGCTCTCTGCTCAGCGGGAAGCCTGTTTCCCCCTCTTTTCTCTCTGCCTGCCTCTCTGCCTACTTGTGATTTCTGTCTGTCAAATAAATAAAATCTTTAAAAAAAATTTATAAATTGTATTTATTTATTTGAGAGAGAGAGAGTGAAAGAGCACAAGCAGGGGGAGAAGCCGGCTCCCTGCTGACCAAGGAGCCTGATATGGGGCTCCATCCTGGGACCCTGGGATTGTGACCTGAGCCAAAGACTTTCGGTTAACCATCTGAGCCACCCAGGTGCCCCACCCTCCCTAATTTCTTACCTTCACTGTTTGAGCAGGATCTCAATCAGGAGCCTGGGTTTTCTCCAGAAGCTGATGTCTAGGGTCTTGTGAGAAGAGGTATACTCCTTAGGCAAACCGATCCAACCCCAAGTTTCTTCTGTGTCCCACTTTTTCAAGGAGTCAGTGGTACAACCAATATATTACCAGCCCCAGGCCCACAGAACTTAGAAAACCCAAATAAATCCAGTGCCACTGCAGTTGTCCCAGACCCGGTGCATTGGACAATACAGATTCCCCCCACCTAGCCCGGCATGTGGTAGAGACTGGATAGGATATCGGGAAGGGGAGGCAGGACAGAAGGGGTCCTTGATTTGTCTTCCCAAGGCTGTGGTTGTTGTCAAGTTCTCCTCACTCAGTGTAAAACTCAGTTGGGTTAACTGTGGTACTATATACTACTTCGGAATGGGCAGAAATGGACTTAGCCTGAGGAGCGCCTGGGTCTCTCAGTCTGTTAAGCGTCTGACTCTTGATTTCGGTTCAGGTCATGATCTCATGTGTCATGAGATAGAGTCCTGCGATGGACTCCACTGGGTGCTCAATCACACTCTCTCTCTCAAAAGAAATTTACTTCTCCCACCTTTTCAAATTGGTCTAGACACAACCAAAGTTCATTCTTCAAAAAACAGCACTTTGAGATAGCTGCTAAATCAAAATGGAGCCACACAGACAGAGGCAGCAAATGTCTCAGTGGTCACCTGCGGACTTAGGACCAAGGACCAAATGTTGTCTCCCCCTCCATCCCTCAGCACCATGTAACACCCAACGTGCCAGAAAAACAATGGAAATCTCAGGAACCCAAGGAGCCACAGAGTTCGAAATGATGGTGTTCTAGAAAATAAGTCATTTTTGAACGGATGCATTTTTGGACCAGAATTATGTATTTCACACTGTCTAGGAGAAAAACTCTCTTTCTCCAATAATTCAATATCTGTCTCAGGCTATTTCTGCAAATCCAGTGTTCTAGCTCTGCTTGGGTAGGTCACGGTCACAGAGGGCCATATGACCAGGGCTGGACGACGCCAGCCAGAGCCTCCCTGTGACTCAAATGTCACACTCCAGTCATGCCAGAGTTGGCCAGGCCAGCCCGCTATTTACATGGCTCCGGCATATTAGAACCCGCTGTGAGTCAGCCTGCCCCAGCTGCTGCGGCTACTTCAAGAGGCCCCCTCCTGCCCTCTGACACTGGTTTCCAGGACCCCATCTTTGGACTGTTCTCAGCGAACCGTGGGTGGGCATGCTCTGGGGTGAGCACAGCCACTCCTCGCCGCTATTCTGTGAAGGACGAGCACCAGACAGGAATTAAAATACAGTGTCCACTGTATTACTGGTAGGGCCACATGTTTGTGCTGCATAAAAATGAAGCTGAAACCACGCTTTCTTCCTTATATCTGATAATGCAGAGGTCTGGGCCTGCAGGTCGAGACTTGGTGTGGCCATCAGCACACACTAGAGATTGTGGTGGGCTGCCACCTACCTGGGCGGTCCTGGCAAATAGCAGATGACCCGTGGGTTACCATTTCTCACCCGCCAGATAAGTCACACCCTACCCGTGGATGTGAAGGAGTGTGGGATAGAGTGCAGGAGTGTAGTCCCTAGTCCTTCCCTAAGAAGGCAGAACTGTTCTAGTCACTGAGGCAGAAATACGAGGAGAAAGACCATGGTTTCCCTACACTGACCACTTAGGTCGTCTCCTGTTTTTTCCTGTGATAAACAAACAACAGAAATCTTTGTGGATAAGATTGTGAAGTTGTGTCCTTGGGCTAGGTTCCTGACACTGGGATTGTACAGGATCAAAGGGCTTGAACATGGTTAAGACCCTTAATATATAATGTCAGACTGATCTTCAAAGAGGTCGTATCTATTAACACACTCCCTACAGTTCCCTAACATTGTACTGGTGTGATGGTTAATTTTGTGTGTCAGTTTGACCGGGCTAAGGGATGCCCAGACAACTGGTAAAACATTATTTCTGAATGTGTCTGTGAGGGTGTCTCCAGAAGAGATTGGCATTTGAATCAGACTAGATAGAGAAGATCTGCCCTCTCCAGTGTGGGTGGGCATCCAATCCTTTGACAGCCTGGAATAGAACGAAAAAGTGGAGGAAAGGTGAATGCCCTCTTCTTGCTCTGGGGCATGGTCTTCTGTCCTTGGACATCAAAGCTCCTGGTTCTCAGGCCTTCGGATTTGGACTCAATTACACAACCGGCTTTCCTGGTTCTCCAGCTTATGACGGATGGCAGATGGTGGCATATCCCAGGCCCCATAATCATAAAAGCCAACTCCCATGATAAATCTCCTCTTCCGTATGTGTGTTCTGTTTCTCTGGAGAGCCGTGACTAACAGAGCTGGGTATGAAGTGGTCCTGACTTCTGTAGTATATGAAATGTCACCATGTTCCACTTTCCAAATCTAACTAAACATGCTGTGATTTCCCGTTGACAGGAATTTCAGAATCCTTCACTGGTGGAGAGGGGGGCTTCCTCACCCTCCCTTGGGCCGTGTATGCTTCCACTAGCCAAGAACAGGAGAGGCAGCCCTGGCGTTTAATCCATCATGTTTGTTGTCTCTGCCATTGTGCCTTTTCCAGACCCGTTGCCCCACCTCCTCCCTTGCCCTGCTCAGAGACTCCCTCGAGCTCGTGAGGCTTATGCTCAGTGTCCACAGACCACC